CCCGCCGCCCGCAGCCCTGTGCAAGAGCATGCGCCTGCCGGAGTTCACGCGCTGCGCGGCCGACGTGAAGGCCCAGGGGGCGGTCCCCAGTGCCACGAGCAGCGTGGGCAGTGGCACCCTGTTCAAGTCCTTCCTGAGGCACACCTCCATGATACAAGTGGGGGTTTTGGGCGCTTTGCTGGCCCTGAGGGGCGGGGTCCCTCATGTATGCTCCTGGGGGCTCGCTGGGTTTTATGGTGTGTTGAGGGGGCGATGAGTAGGGCGGGTGCTTGGCAACACAGCAAGACGTGTGGGGCAGTTGATCTTGGGGTGCAAGAGCCGGGAGCGACGAATGCCAACAATGGAGCAGCTTCTGTGCAGCTTCTTGCGCCGTCGCGGTTGGCGCTGTGCGGCGTCGCCGGCCTCTCCCCTCGACCTCTGCGCCTCCGAACCGCCCCAAGGTGAGTCGCGCTGCTGTCCCAGCCCATCACATAGGCGCATGTCCCACACTCGTCCTGTCCTGATCTGCCCCCAACCCCCCTCCCCTCCCCTCCCCACACATAGGACCTGCGGCGCCAGCTGTCGCGCGAGCGCCGGAGGGGCGCGGCCGCGCTGCCAGAGGTCACGCTGCTCCGCAGCCTCGAGGTGAGGGATACAAATTTTATTGGTGGTGGGGGGCGGGGCGCCTCGAGCACTGCTTGACTGGCAGCCAACCGCCACTTGAGTCGCGCCCGACTGCTCGCCTCTCGCGGCCTCAGTTTGCGGTTGCTGTGCTGCCTGGTTCCGTGATTGCTGACAGCACCGATGGCTCTACACGACAAAAGAGCAAAGTGCTGCACGCTTTCCAGCACACGTCTGCTGGCCCTCACCTGCCAAAATCAAACGGTGTCGACCCAATCCACCCAATCCGCACCCAGTCCGTGCCCCTGGTGGCGCCCCCCGCGGCCCTGGTGCACTATGAGATAGCCAAGGTCTACTCTGAGGCCGTCCTGCTGCCAGACCTGCGGCCAGACGGTGGGACAGCCGGGGGCCAGGAGTGGGGGTGGGGCCAGAGGGATGGGCCGGTGGCAGGCGGGGGCGAGGGGCACAGGGGTGCTCTCCTGGGTAGTGGGGGAGGCAGGGAGTGAGGTTTTCGCCCCTCCGTCTCCTCCTTATGTCTGTCACTCCTGCGCATTCCAACCCCGCGGCCACACCGTCCGCCCAACCCCCGCGTCGCCCTTTTCTTTTCCCGTCCAAACCGCACACCCACCCCTTCCGCCCCCGTCTACACAACCGCACAAGACCCACATCCCCCCACCATCCCCTCACCATCCCTCTACCATCCTCTCACCCTCTGCTCACCAATCCCTCCACCATCCTATCACCATCCCCCCACCCTCCCCCAGAGGACCCGGATGATGCACGCGCGGGCGGCGTCTTCCACCTGCAGCAGAGCGCGGCCCTGGGCTGCACACTCGCGCAGGCCACGCTCGCCAGGCACGCCCCATCCCCGAGCCCCAGGCCCGGCCCCCGCGGCGGCCCCCGCGCGTCGGCGGATCGACAGCGGGCTTGCATGAATAAAAAGAGGGCGCGCCCCTGACTGGAACACGCGCTTTCCCGGCCCGGTCCACGCCCTGCGGTCGGCCCTTTTCCCCCACCTGCCGTGTCCTCCATAGCTGCAGCACTCAGTGGCATACACTTCTCAAACCCACCCCTTCCTAATCCTATGATCATAAAATCATCCACTTTCAGGGCCCACATCGGCGTCGACCCCAACAGCAACCAGATCGCGTACCTCGTCAAAGAGGTGAGGCCGCGGGATGGAAGTCGAGGGGGCGCCTGGAGCCGCGCCACGGCTCGGTCAGGGGATGAGGCGACCGGCGATGACGTCACCTCCCAACACCACGAGCTCGGCGGCTGGCCGCCCTCCGCCACACTCACGCGTCCATTGGGTCGCCTCGCCTCATATATTGTATTTGCCGCACCTGCCTCCCAAGGCAATCTCAAACCAACGTTAAACCAAACTCGAACCGCCCTCCACCAGGCGGCCGCAGTAGGGGAGCTCCAGCGCAGCGGCGCCCTCGCGCTGCGATACGCCTCGCTCGCCGCCGAGCGCGGCGTCCGCGCGGCCGCCGCGGCGCTCGGCCACGCGTTCGCGACCGGCGGCGGCGTGGGGGAGGGGGCGCTCGACGGGCCGTGCCCCGCGCTCGCGGTCAGGTGGCTGCGGGCCGCGTTGGGCGCACAGGGCGACGGCGGCGCCGGCACAGTTGCGGACGCAGCTGCCGAGGGCGTGAGCGCGCTTTCGCTGGGCTACCCCAGCGTGATCACCGCGAACATCGCGATGGCGCGGTCCGCCTCGTCAGCACCAGGCGCGGACGAGCTGAGCGGCAGCGGCGGCGGCGCGGAGGACGACGAGTCAGGCAGCGGCGGCGGCGGCGGCGGGGCGTCGGGGACGGCCGGCGCTTCGTCTTACAACAGCTGGGGTGGCGAGGTGGAGGAGGGGGGGCTGGAGGAGGGCGCGCTGTGCGCGCTGCGGGGCCCCAGCGGGGTGGGGCGCGCGGCGTCGCAGGTGGAGACTGTGGAGCAGGCCTTCGCGCTGCTCGCTGAGGCGGAGGCCGAGGTGGGCGGCACCTCATTGCATTCTTTGTGTGATCGCAGGGGCGTGTTCATGGCGCACAACAGATCATATGGGCTGGAGGGCTGGTGCCTGGGTGTTGGGCTTGTGGGCCGCTGTCTGATTGTGAGAGGGTGCAGGGCAATGGCCAGGCTGGGATCTAAGCCTCCCCCGCCACCCCGGATGTGGTGACCAGCCACTCCTCTTACCCCCCCCCCAGGGGGGCCATCTGAACACCCCAACACTCTCCCCAACCCAATCAAAGCGCTCACCCAGTCGAACCCTTCACCCAACCAAACCCAAACCTACAACCCACGGGCCGCAATCGCCAGGGCCTCCCCGGCGGCACCCAGGCGCCCCACGAGCTGCACGCTGAGCTGGCGCGCCTCCTGCTGGCCGGCGGCCCCGGTCTGCCACCCGACCCGGCGGCGGCGGCGGAGGCGTACACGCTGGCGGCGGAGGCTGCGGAGGCGGCGTTCAAGGGGAAGCTGGCCGCCAGGTTCTACGAGCTGGCCGCCCAGGCTGAGGCCGCGGCGGACGAGTGAATCCAACACACCTCCACAGCATCGTGCTCGTTTGGCGCGTGTGGATGAAGAAGGACAGCGCGGAATTTGTGGCAATTCATGGGTCTTTTATCACGCAACGCGCTGAAAAGGCACGGCCTGTTGTCTCATCAGCGCATCCCGCGTGCAGAGAGACATGCTTACCAAGCCCTCTGGTCGTGGCGGCCAACGCGGCATCGCTGTGGCTGATAGATCCATGCCCAGTGGTGTTTCATGCCGCTCCGCGTCGCCATAATCAGGCACGCACGCTGCAGTGTCACACACACACATACACACACACGCAAACACACACACACGCGCGCGCGCGCATGCACCTACACACACACACGCACATGCACAAATACCATGCACACACGCACATGTGCACACATGCACGCACACGCACACGCACGCACGCAACCTGTGCGGTGCCTCATATGCTGCGCGCTTGCACTTTGCAAACCCAACACCTGTTACAGTGATTGCTCACAATGAAATCCTGGTGATCCATCATATGCTGCGGTTCCCACCCTGCACATTAATTTGCAGCATCGATCTGGGGTTGCGCAGTAGCCAGCCAGCAAGCAAGCAGGCAGCAAGAAGGCAGGCAACAAGCAAGCAGGGGCAGCAGCAAGCAGGGGCGGCAGCGGCGCTGGTGTTCCACTAGGTGACAGCGACCTAGCCTGTTTACTCACAAGCCAAGCCTGTGTGCAAGGTCGAAGTGTGTGCACAGCAGACCAGCGAATGTTCCCAGACCAGCAACCATACTTCGCACGCTTCGCTTCACCCCACACGGGGTGTGCTCCCGACCCAAGAAGCCGCTCGGTCACAAGCGGCGTGCCGCGCCGCCTTCACCCAATGGATTTTGCCAGCCAGTCGTGCCAGAGCTGCCCCTTGCCGTATTCCCCCTTTGATGGGATGGCAGGGGCCATTGGGACAGCAGGGACGGCCTGGCCCTTGCCCAGCCCCTGTCCCGCCTGGTAGTTCACCTGTCCACAGGCGGGCACACGCGCACACGAGGGCGCGATTGCGGGCACAGGGCGTGAGGCGCGGCCTCAGTGGCGGCCGTGCAGCCACTGGCCCAGGATGCCCTTGCCAAAGCCCTCCTTGGCGGGGGTTTGGGGGGCGGCCTGCACATTGTACTGCAGGCGGGGAGCGCCAGGCACGGGAGGGCGGCACGCAGGCATGCGGAGTTTCAGCACGCATGCGCCCGCGTTTTTCTATCTGCCAAAGACCACCAGTCCAAGAGGGAGTAATACATTTGCGCAACTGTCTAAAACCTCCGGCAATGCGCGGCGGCCCTCGTGCTCCAACAGGGACACTTGCGCGAGGCCTGACGGTGCCGTTTCCTGTGACGTGCCCACCTGCTTGACTTCTGTGTACACGTTGACAGCAGTGGGCGATGCCGGCGCCACAACCTGCTGAGGGGCGGCCACGGGCGCCACGACCGGCTGGGACGCGAGAATGGGCTGTGCGGCGAGGACGGGCTGTGCGGCGACGACGGGCTGCGAGGCCAAGACGGGCTGCGGTCCTGTTTGAACGGGCGCAGCGACAGGTGCTGGGGCGACCACCTGAGCAGGTGGTTGGTAAGGAGCTTTAGATTACGCCAGAAAAGGACACAGCACAGCAGTTTGGCGGGAGCAAGGGCACTTGACTGCCGGCCGCCACGCCTCTGATGTGCAGGGGGGGCAGAACTCACTGGGGCGGGCGGCGGCGGCACTACGATGACGACAGGCGCGGGTGCGGGGGCCTGCTCCTTCCCATGCAGCTGATCCAGAAAACCCCAGAGCAGGCGCCTGCATGGGTGGCAGAAGTAGGCGCTCCGGCGCGTCAGGGCGACAGACTGGCACTGTCAACGACACCCGTGACATTTGCGAACGCAGGATTTGATGTGCATCTGGTCCAGGATTGCGGCGTGAAAGCATTGGAAAATCCTTCAATGCGTGATGCAGTGCATTCTCCCGAATTACAAGCCGGGACCTGCGACGATGACATGAAACCGCCCTGGCTTCGAACGCACCTGCTCGGGACGCTTGAGGCACCCACAGCAGCGTTGGCTGGCGCCACAGAGACAAGCACGACCAACCCCAGCACGAATCTAAAAGGCCTGGCAGCCATTGCGAAGTTGGTGCCCAGCCCAGAGTGTGGTTCAACTGTGCTGACAACAAAGGAAAGCTCTGTTGAAATACAGCCAGAGCCTGTCAACTGGGATGCACGCATGAACATAATTCGTGCACCGTATGCTCTGACAAGCCGTGACCGCCCAGCTGCTGAGCTCCTAAGTCCGATCGCGCGTGGTCAACTGCTGCCAACGGCTGGGCAAGGTGCCCCCACTCCAGGATGCAGCATACAAGGCACAACAGACAAGGAGTTTTCATTACCCAGTACCCTCATACTAAAAACATCAAAAGCAGCCATGGGACTATACTGGACGCTGTTGCAGCGAGCCGATGCAGAGGTGGTGTGCGTATGATCGCAGCCTGTGTCGTCGTGTACGAGCTCTGTGCAGTCCGATACAGCGCCCTCTCACGCGGCTGGCCTGGACGCGCAAATACGTGCGGGGCTTTAAGGGCGAGCTTGCGGCCCCGCCGGCCCCGCCCGTTCAAACAAATCCTGCAGATGCACAGGCGCCCGAGGTCTGACAGCCGCAGACAAAACCCAGGCCTTCACTATGTCGAATGTACCGCAATGCCGGCCCCGCGGCCCAGCCTATGGGCTGGGCGCGCCAGGGGGCTTGGTCAAAGGCTGTTCTGTGCAGAGCGCGCGCCTCTCCGACCTCGCCCTGTGCTTCTTGTGACAGCTGATGTATTGAGAGGTCTTCAATTTCCAAGGCGCATGAACAGGGAGACAAGCAGCGCCCCCGCGCAGCAGCGCCGCCAGCAGCCACAGCAGCCCCGCCCGCTCAGGCGCTGGCAAACCCGGCCCCCGCAGCCGGCTGCCCCTGGCGCTCGTCCGCCGCGTTGGCAGCAGCGGCGGCGGCCACCAGTGCCTCGGTGTTGAGCGAGTGGCCGACGTCCAGCCCAGAAACGCCCGCAGACAGCTCATCCACCACCGCCCCCGGGCTGACGCCCCCGGCGTCCAACCCTGCCTGCGCCTCGACGTCAGCCTCTGCAGCGCCGCCGCCAAGCGCCGCCGCGGGCGCCCGAGGGGCTGGGGCCGGGGAGGCAGAGGCGGCGGCCGCGGCGGCTGCGGCCAGCGCGCCGGTGCTGATGCGGGCGCCGCTGCAGAGTAGCTTCTCCACACGTGTGACGATGTGCTTGCCGTACGTCAGCCTTGAGTCCAAAATGCAGGGGGAGAATCATGGGGGAAGCAGGAGGAACCATCAGTGCCAAGGTAGTGATGTGGGCGCGTCGTCAGGCCGCAATCGTGCAACGTGCGCAGCAACCGCTTGTGGCCACATGCCTCGACGCCCCGCTCCTTGCCGTCCGGCCTGCGCTCTCACCGCTTGAGGTACGGCAGCTGCACGCGCAGCTGCTCCAGCAGCCGCTCGCGCTGGTCCTCGTTGCACACCTGCAGGGGCCGAGGAGGCAGGGCGCGGCCGATTCAGGACAAGCCGGTCTGAAAAGACACCAGCCTGCAATATGCGAGGCGCGTTCTGGACCGAACGGCGCAGTGCCGGCCAACACCCCGCCCTCGCCGCCGGCCCGGCCCCTCCCTAGCTTCCCCCAGAAGGCCGCCGCCCACCTCGAGCAGCTTCTGCACCACGTAGTTTCCAAACTGGTCGCGCATCATCTGGTGCAGCGGCGAGTCCGCCAGCGCGCCCGCCCCCGCGTCGCCGGCGCGCGGGGGCGGCTGCGCGAGGATGGCCTCAACCAGCGCCTCGCGCTGCTCTGGCTTGCCGTGCAGCAGGCACTTCTCAACCACGTTGGACGCAAACTTGTTCTGGCCGAGCGTCACGATGTGGGGCGCGAGGGCGTCGATGACGCGGTCCCGCTCGCAGGGGCGGCCGAACTCCAGGATGTGCTGGATCACGTAGTTGCCGTACTGGTCCTGCGCCAGCTGCACGATTGCCTGTGAGAGGAGGGCAGGGGGGCGGACAGGGGGCGGCGGCCGGAAGAAGAGATGTGTGGTTGGGGTTGCAAGGGTTCGTGCCTGGCCAGGGGGGCAGCAGGCGCCTGGACAGGGACGCTGTGGTTCAGCGGCTGCATGGTCTGCCGGGTGCCTGGTCCACACAGGTCGTCCCGCGGCTCACCAGCTGCACCTCCCCCATGACCGAGTCGTAGCGCGGCGTCCCCCCGCAGTGCTCCAGGATGCGCTGCACCACGCGGCAGCCGAACGAATGCATGCTGAGGGACACGATCTGGCCGTTGAAGGTGTCCAGCATGGTGGCCAGGTGCTCAGAGGGCACGCACTCGATGCACCTGCGCATGGGGCGAAGAGGCGCGGGGCGGCCGCATTGGGATGATGGGAGGCCAGGGGCCGGCGCCTGCACCTGCACCGCAGTGCCCCCCCCGAAGACCATGAGCCCCTTCTTAGCCGCCCGAACAATGTCCGGCACAACCGCTGAAGCGCTCACTTCTGGATGACGTGGTTGCCATTCTGGTCGCGCACGCAGCGCATGGCGTGGTCCTGCAGCTCCCGCACCAGCGCGATGCGGCGCTCCATCGGCAGCGCCTCAAGAGCGCGCTGCACCACGCGGCAGCTGTACATCTGCAGCGACAGGTTGAGCACCTGGGGTGGACGCAGGCGTGGGTTGAGGGCAAGGGGAGCGGCGTGGGTTGAGGGCAAGGGGAGCTCGGCGTTAGTGGCAGGAGGATGTGGTTCAGTGGTGCTGCCGAGTTTGACATGCACGGGAAGCTGCTGCTTGGGACGCACCCAGTTTTCACAGCAGCTGCCCCAACCTCTGCAGGTGGGAGGCTGCCACACTTTATGCACTGCGCAGCCGCGCGACCCTCAGCGTAGCGCGCACCTGGCCCTTCATCTGCTGCGCCAGCTCCAGCCGGTGGTCGTCCGGCCCCAGCTCCAGCACCTTCTGGATCACATAGTTGCCAAACACGTCGTTCATCAGCACCATGGCCTTGGGGGCCAGCTCCCTGGAGGGGCCGCGGCAAGGGTGGCGAGGCGGCGCACGCAGGTGCATCGTCAGTGCGCCTTGTCCCGGAGGTGGCTGGCGGCTGCAGGCGCAGAGTCAAACGCGACGCAAGCACAGCGCGTGGCCTGCCCTCAGCCCCTCCCACCTGAATGCCGCCGCCAGGTCCTCAGGGCTGAGCGTGTCGAGCTTGAGCTGGATGAAGCGGCTGCCATGCTGGTCCAGGCTGAAGTCCAGCATGTTGCCCAGCACCTCCTGCAGGGGTGAGCAAAGGTGCAGACAGCGCTCACACGTGTCTGTGGGCGTGGCTAAGGCGGTTTACGCGCGGGTGTCACACAGCAGCCACCACGAATTGCGGAGGGTAGGTTGTTCAAGGCAGCTGTGCGGTAAAAGTCCAGTTAGCCCCCCCCCGGGGGCCTCACACACCTTCATGTCGATCCTCCTGGCTTTGCTGTTCTTGAACTCCTCCAACAGAGGGTTGACGCTGCGCGCGGTGTCGTCGCTGCGCCCGCCCCGCCCACCAGGCGTGCGGTCGCGGTCGCGGCCGCGCGCACTGCGGTCGGCACGGCTCCTGTCCAAAGACCCTGCGCTGCCGTCGCGGCCGCGCGCCGCGCTGGCGTCCTTCTCCTGAGAATGGAGTGGCGGGAGCATAGCAGGCATGGGTACGGTGCGTTCCATGCAATGGTGCACCAGAGCTCCCGCAGGGGGTTGGCAGATCATGCATCACCACGGCTGACGCGGTTTGCTGCTTGCCAATTCATGCTTTTTCGCGTCAAGCTCACCTCTGTGCTCGAGGCTGTCGCGGCGGCGGCAGCAGCCGCTGCGGCTGTGGCCGCAGCCGCCACCATGGCGTTCATGGGCGCGTTCATGTTCATACCCATGTTCATGTTCATGCCCATGCAGGCCTGCATTTGCTGCCAGATGCCCTGCCACATGGCGGAGTAGCACTCGGGCCCCATGGGCGGGAAGCCAAAGCCGGGCATGCCCTGCTGCGGGAAGCAGCCATTGAGGCCTGAGCAGTCGCCCTGCATGCCTGGCATGTTGAAGCCGGGCATGCCGCCGCCTTGCCAGCCAGGGAAGGTGCCAGGAGCCATTGGGAACGGCCACGAGCCCTGCATCCCGGCCTGTGGCTGAGATGCCTGCTGCGCCGCTGCCATGGTCATCATGAACGCCTGCTGCATTTGCTGCATCTGCTGCTGCTGCTGCTGCTGCTGGTGCATCTGCTGCTGCTGCTGCTGCTGCATCTGCTGTGCCGCGTGCTGCTGGGCCTGCATTATGGGCTGCAGCGCGGCAGCGCCCCCCACCCCGTGCCCTGGCATCTGGGCAACGGCAGCGGCCATCGCCGCCTGCTGGGCCACGATGCTGGGGCCCTGCTGCGCATGGGGATTCATTGCAGCCACGGCTGCCTGTGAATGGGCTGCAGCCGCAGCAGCCGCCGCGGCCGCTGCCTGCTGCTGCTGGCTCGTCACAAATGGTTGCGCGGCACTGAAGGACGTCCCGCCCGGCGTCCCGGGCTGGCTGGCAAGCGCTACCGATGCCACCTGCTGCATTGCGGCGTGCTGGAGCGCCGCCTGCTGAATTTGCTGTTGCTGTTGCTGCTGCTGCAGCGCTGCTTGCTGCATCTGCAGGCGCGCCTCATGTGCGACTGCCGCTGGGAGGCATCCAGGCTCGGGGCTGCCGCTGCCAGAGCCGAGCGTCGGCGTGGAGGTCCCCATACTGCGCTGCTGGTGGAAGCCCTCGAGGCCTGACGCCGCCACAACCGCCGCAGCCGCCTGCTGGACAGCCGCCGCCATGGCGGCCTGGTGCACCGTCGTGCCAGCATTGGCGGCAACATTGTAGTCGCTGTTGTTGGTCCCGACGTCGTACTCAGAGCTGCTGATGCGTAGCTTTGACGGCTTGTGCTGCCGAGGCTCGGATTGCAGCCCATAGGTGCCGCCGCCGCGCTGCATGCCTGGGCCATCCTGCGGTTGCACAGCACAGAAGGGAACGGTGAGGTCCACGCCAAGTGTGTGTTCACCAAAATGGAGTGCATGATTGCACGATGAACGTGGTGGTCTTCAACCTTGTCGTTTCCCAAGTGCTGACAATGCCAAGGGGAACCGCACCTTGCCATAGCCCGATGACACAGCGTCCAGCTGGGAACCTGCCGAGCCAGCGCCCGTGCTCAGGTCAAACATGGGCGTCATTGGGCTACGCGGCGTGATGGGAGCGCTGTTGCCAGCGTTGAAGAATGAGTCGGCGCTGAAGCTGCCCTCACGGCTCATGACGCCGCCGCTTGCGCCAACCGCTGCGGCGGCAACAGCGGCCGCACCAGCGCCAGGCCCGCCATTAGTGAAGGACCCGTTGCGGCTCATGCCCTGAGCCATTGTGGCCAGGTTGCTGCCGGTGTGGACGGGCTTGCCCTGGAAATTGGGCAGCTCGGCGTCCAGAGCTGCGGGGTTGCGGCCGCTTGTGTTGGGCCAGCTACCAATGACGGCCTCCAGCTGAGGAGAGCTGCCAAGCGCCTGCATGCCCTGTGTAGGCCGTAGCAAGCAGAGGGCACCACATCGGCCGCAGCCAGCGCAGTCAGTGGGCGTGCTCTTTCAGCTCCTGAAGACAATGCAGGCGTCCCTTGCATGCATTCTCGCAACTATCAGGCCTGCACCTGCCACGCAACACCTCTCCAATCCATCGTGCCACCATAGCAACCCAGCCTGGCGTTCTCGCTGCCTGCTCACGTGCATCATCAGGGGGTTAGGGCTGGCAGTGCCAGAGAGAGGAACATCCCTGTCGTGGTCATCAGCATCCAGGCCCATCTGCGAAGGGTCCCAGATACCCTCCATACTCTGCAGCTGGGGATGGCAACGCGAGGTGCACCCGGCAGTGAGACAACAAGCGAGCTTGCGAGCTCGACGCCGTCGGCGGCATGGCCCGCCACAAACTGCCACAGCAGCACGTCCACTTTCAATGTGGCACCCATAACAACTGTCTTTGTCCCCGTGTTGCTTTTTGAGGAGCTGGCCTCGCCGTAATACAGAGCCGACTGTTCAAAACGCACATGCACCTGCTGGCCCGCCCAGGCGGCGCGTATGTTGTCGCGGCTGGCCTGGCCGCGCGCGTCAAAGCACTTGTTCTTGAGCATCATCTTGAGCAGTGCCGGATCGGCGGGCCTGAGGTTGAAAGGAAGTAGTTGGGGCTCCAGGGGCTTCGGCTGCCTTATGGTCGGGGAGCACAAGCAGCGATGCGGTGCGCCGGCCAATGTAGCGGCGCGCCTTAAGGCAACGCGTGCATGATGACGAATGATGTTATAGGCGTTCTCAGACTGGCATGGGCCCGAGAGGCGCCAAGCGCGACCAGGGCCGCGGGCTGATCGGCTGGTCAAAGTCGAGCCCAGGTGTAGCACTCGGACGGCCAGCGGCCAGCTGCCAGCCATCAAGCTATCACAAAGGCCATTCACTAGCTCACCGGTCATCCTGGGACGCGGCGGCCGCGAGGCTGGCAGCGTCCATCGACCGCCTGAGTGTGTGGCCCTGCAGCAGCGCTGCTCCCGTCTGCGGGTCGTTGAAAAAAGTACTGGGATTTCCCAGTCCATCCATGGTGATCGGCCGGCCGCTGAGGGCTTTGGGTGGGAATGGCGCCAACTAGTGCAGTCAAGCGCACAGCTTAGGGGCTGGCCTGTACGCCTGAAGAGCTGCCAGGACTAAACACTGTTTATCTGCAGCCGATCACGGCGATGAACGGGAGACGATGGGAATCACCGATCATTGGGGAGCACGCGGGGCGGGCTGCGGACTTTTCTGTACTTTGGAGTATTTACACGCGAATTGTGACCTACATAAACCTGTACGACGCATGTGAGCGGACGGGAGCGGACGGCTGCAAAGAGGCAGGCAGCACGCGTATCACTCAACTCACAGCTGGAGCTCACACCCACCCCAACAGTGCAACCTGAGCGCAACGGGCCACGGGGTCACCCCAGCTTGGCACCTTGTGCTGCTGCTGCTGCTGACATCCCAGGTAGGCAGGAACCGTTTAAGACAGGCCATGCTGAGGGGTTTCCATGGGAGTGTACTCCTGCGACTGATGCGCCATCAACTTGAGGTGCGCTTTCTTTCGCACAGAACCCGCCTCGCTTCATCAAGCAACTCTGGAAGGTGCATGGTCAAAGGCCTCGGACCTTACAGGTTCATGAAATAAGACATATATCACATGTGCTGACGCACTGTTTGCTCTTGCGGTGCCGCCACATTGCGCTTCGCTTTCTGCCGCTGTCGCTTGCGCTGCCACTTAGAGAGCTCCGCCTGCGGCATTGCCAACAGCTCCCGCTGTCGCTGTTCAGCAGTAAGGACTTTCCGCGACTCCGGGCCGCCGCTGTCACCAACCCCTCCTCTGCCATCAATCACTCCCCCATGTTGATGCTGCTGTACGTACTGATGGCTGGGATCAGGCTGCTGCGCCCGCTGGAGGTGGGTGCTGGCCGTGGGCCCACCACGATCGCTTAAGCGAACCCTCGCAAGCGCCGAGAGCTTGCCGCCACCGCCCTCCTCATCGTCGCTGCTGCTGTCGTCATCTCCACCCAGGCGTACGCCGGCTCCCTGAGGAGACGGATTGCAGGGCAAGGCACAAACATGATGCCCAAACACAATACAGTCGCTGCCGACGGACATGGCAAGGCAGAGAACCCAGACGTGAAACAGCCGGCGTACTCTGGCATGCATGTATGGCTCGCGCCTCTGATGGGAAAAGGAATTGTGTGCCACCAGGCTCCCACATAGCCCACCTGTCCGTGCCGCTGCGCATCCGTGCCATCGCAGTGCTGCTGTTGTTGCTGCTGCTGGCCTTTAATCCAAGCCGCGACACCGCCCCGCTGCTGCTTTTCCGGCCGCTCCGGCAGTGAGCTGCGCAGGCGTCGTTTCAACCGGCTGTCCACAGCAGAGGCCGTCTCCATGGCCTGATTGCGTTTCCAATGCGGTAAGCGGGTTGGTATGGGATAGGATGGCACAACAGAATCTGATGGAACGGCGCTCAATCGTGTGGTAACGTATGCGTGCTGACAGCGACGGCGGCATTCAAAGCAATGCGACAGTGCGGGTGCACAACATACAGCTCACCTTGCTGTGCGAGAGGAATTTCGCACCCAGTCCAAGCCTGCGCAGCATTAGCAGCAGCCGGCGTGTGAGATAGGCGTGTTGGGCGCCCTCAAACGGCTGTGGCCCCCGCAGTCGCTGCGTGTCCCAGACGGCGATGCACTGCAGTGATGCCACTGCGCCAGCAAGTGCTCACAGGTTTGGTCGCGGTTTGTCAAACAGCTCGTCAGCCGCAGCTCCCGTCTCATCAAGGGCTTCCTCGGCTGACATTCCTAGCCATCCAGCCACGACGGTGAGCGCCTGGTGCGACGCACTGATCTCCAGACTGTCTCCTTGATCGTCCGCCATGGCCGAGCGTTTTTTGGGCTGGGGTTTTTGAGTATGCTGATATCGGTAAACGGCTTGGGCCAGTGCGTGAACAATGGCATGAGTAGGGGTATTATACTGTTCGCCTGAAGTCACCTGACATGCAGGCGACACTGCTCGTGCTGCGTCGATGCACTCGCAGGATGCGTCGCAGCGCACCGCAAGGGGTACAGGTGCATTGCAGCGCACAGCAAGAGCACACAATATACAGTGGGGACGCACGCATCCACCCATGCTATGCCCTCAGTTGGCAATGCACGCACGCTGCAGCTATACTAAGCAACACCTTGCACAAGATCAGCAAGAGAGACCTTTGCTTACTGTACAGACAGATGGGTCGTCTTAAAGTGTACACGCGTCACTCGCCTTGCCGGGCAACAGAGCAGTCTGGCCACCAGCGGCCATGAGCAAGCAGTGGTGGCGGGCCGCAGGCGCGAACCGTATGGTGAGGCATCGATTGCAGTGAAGGGGTGCTGCAAGCGGCGGCCTCCTTGCCCTGCATCGCTGAGAGGCCCCCACTCTGGTGGAAGTCTCCCTGCCGGGTGTTGGCCCTCAAGGTGGGCCCAGTACAAGCAGCCTCACAGGGTACAATAGGGTATAAGCCATGCACGAGCGAGGCCGACCCATAAAACACAGGACACACCGGCAAAGAGAGCAAAGGCTAATGCGCTCCGACTGGCGCAGCTCAGCGCCCGCCAACAACCACATTGGCAGCATCTTCAGGTAGCATGGAGGGCATGCATCGCTTGCACGAGGGAGGCGCCAGTGCTCTGTCAAGTCTCTAGCGACGGCCTCTCGCCGCCTGGGCAGTAGCAACAGAAAGGGTCAAGACGTGTGCAAAGCGCCACGCACTTTGCAACCGCGGCAGAGTGGCCGTATAAGAAGGTTTGCGAAATCCCACCAAACTGGGCAGGCATCCAAGCAACCTCCAGGGCGTGTGCGCTCGGCGCCGAACCTCAAGGCCCGCGTGGCCTGCGCAGAATCACTAAAGCATGGCAGTGCAAAGCCGTGCGCTGATGTGGCGCCCCTCCCAATCTCGCACTTGTCGCGAAGGAGGGGGGCGGATAGCAAGCCACGGCACACTACGCATCGCCACTGACACCACCGTCCGGCTTGATGCCGGTGATCTCGGGGTGCGAAAAGCACGAGAGGTCCGCAGGCAGCTCCGCCAAAAAGGCTGCGTTGAGGGCGGCGATCATGGCGGCCTTGTCGCTGCCCAGCAGCGGCACGCCGATCGACACAGGCTCCTCCTCATCCGTCTTGCGCTGCTCCTCCGCTTCCCTATGCGCACGAGAGAGCTCCTCGGCCTCCTGCTGCGCGCGCGCTGCGGCAGCGGCCTCGCGCTCAGCACGCTCACGCGCGGCGGTGGCAGCCTGGCGTGCCTCGGCCTCTGCCTTGCTGCGGGCCTCGGCTTCAGCCTCGGCTTTGCTGCGCGCCTCGGCCTCGCTGCGTGCCTCAGCCTCGGCCTTGCTGCGGGCCTCGGCTTCGGCGTCGGCCTCAACGCGCGCCGTCTCGTCGGCCTCAGCTTGGGCGCGAGTCAGCTCAGCAGCCTCCTGCTCTGCACGTACAGCAGCAGCATCCGTCTCCTCGGCGGCTGCCTCCTCCTCCACAAGCACGACTGCCTGCTCCTCTGCCTGCGCCTCGGCCTGCACCTCAACCTGCACCTCCTCCACGGGCTGCTGCTGCTGCCCTTGCTGCTGCTGCTGCTGCTGCAGCTGCTGCTCCTGCTGCTGTGCCAGCTCGGCAGCTATGCGCTCCTGGTTGCGCTCGACCTCGGCCTCGGCCTCCGCCTCCGCCTCAGCGGCTGCGGCCAGGGCCGCCGCCTGAGCGCGCGCGATAGCCAACGCCCGCGCGCGCTGCTGCTCCTCCTCCAGCTCGCGCTGCGCCTGCTCCTGGGCTGCAACCTCTGCAGCCGCGGCCTCCTCGGCCTCGCGAGCTGCTGCTTCCTCAGCCGCCGCGCGCGCGAGCGACTCCGCCTCCACCTCGCGCCGCACCCGCGCCAGCTCGTCCAGGCTGCGCTGCCGCTCCCGCGCGCGCTCCGCCGCGAGCGCGGCCGCCTCCGCCAGCGCCTCAGCCACGTCACCGGGCTGCTGCGCCACGGGCGTGGGCGGCGCCGCCGGCGTTGCCGCCACCGGCCGCGACGAGATGCGCGGCGGCGTGCTCGCGCCGCTGGCCGGCTCCGAGTCCGTGCCCGACGACGCCGAGTCGATGGTGCCCATGAGCGAGGTGTGGAGCGTTTCGCGCATGAGGGTGCTGTTCTCCTCCGCCACGTCGGTGAGGTCCTGGATGAACTCCTTGGCCAGCTGGCTGCGGATGTCCATGATGCGCATCGCCATGCTGGGGTTGGGGG